CTCAGTGTTGAGAGTCGCAATACGGTTGTTGAACTCAGTGACTTGTCGATTGTACTCGTTGGCGTCTTGTAGAGCATCTGCTTCAGTGGCTTGTTGAGCTTGCTCAGCGATGTGCTGTGCTTGTTCTGCAGTGTTCTTGTCGATAGTGGTTTGATTATAGAGCGAGAGCAGGTCACGTAAGCCTTGCTGAAAGGTGTCGTTGTTATCAGTGATGAAAGTTCCAAGCGTACCANTGATTATAGAGCGAGAGCAGGTCACGTAAGCCTTGCTGAAAGGTGTCGTTGTTATCAGTGATGAAAGTTCCAAGCGTACCATTATCAACGGCAGCTTGGAGTTCTTCAACTGTGAATACAGGCATGATGAGCTCGAGTGGCAAGGGCGATGGGCGATGGGCGATGGCAAAGGTATTTCAAGGGCAATAGGTACAGCGACGATGTGCACGCTGTACGAGTAAAAAAGCTGGCGAAGAATATGTTATGGTGGGGATCAAGGAATAGATTGTTCGCAAGGAGGGAAGAGAGACGCTCTTCGCACTCTTTAGGTATTTACGGAAGGGTACACCCGCAACTTCGCTAAGCGAACCCTTATTCACTAAATCAAAAACTGTCACACCAGCGAACACCCAGCCAAGTTTAGCTAGCCAGTTTGAGTATTCGTTACACTAGGTAATAGAGTCGGGTTAGTTTGAATAAATTTATATAGTATAGTATATCTCTCACGCCCTTTTCTCTCCCCCCCTATGCGTATCTTGCACGTGCTAGTTATATACGGTTTTATCTTGAGCCTACTATTACCCCCGCGCCCTCTCCGATAAACGATTACCCCCTATCCCTTGTCGCTATTACTTTAGCTCTCGCTATAGCTATTGAAATTATAAAAGGTCGTCGTAAAGAAAGAGAAGAGAAAGTCGAAAGAAGAGATAGAATAGACAATTATAAGTGGTAAACAATTGTTGGCGCAATATATGCTAGCCTAACCTTTTTAGGAAGGGGGTATTCTAGGGCTAGGAATAAGTGACACGGATAACTAAAATAATTCCCTACTTCTATCCCCCCTCTGCTACCCTCTCTCTCCCTACTAAAAAATATACTGGGGTATAACCCCTACACGATAGTAAGGAAACAGCGATAGTGAAAATGTAGAGATAGTAAGGATGTAGCGACAGTGAGGTGGTAGGCCATACACGCAAAAATGCCTGGGCACATGAAGCTAAGAATGGGGTGGTGGGGGTATAAGCATAATAGTAATAGTAAATATATCGCTTTTACGGATTACGATTTGCGTTCTGCGATTACCTCGTTTCCGACCCACGTGTAATCTTACAATTAGGATGCCTACGGCATCCTGAATGTACTAAAAGGTCGAATAGAGTAAATACTAATTCGCAAAAGTTATATATTTACTACTACTGTACCAGAGTTCCTATACCCCCAAGTACTTAAGAAGGGGGCCTAATTATGTAAACCCGCTACCTACTGTCGCTACACCCTTACTGTTGCTACACCCTTACTGTCGTATCGTCACTGTTGTATTGTTACTATCGCATCGTCACTATCGTATCGTTACTATCGGATAGGGTCGTGCCCTAGTATGTTATTTAGAGAGGAGAGAGAGAGAGAGAAGCGGGGAGATAAACTAGTTACACGCGTCGCTTATCGTCAGCCCCGAATACTACCTTCCTAAAACGGCTAGGCTAGTACGTGTTACGCTAACAATTGTTTGCTACCTACCTTCGCACCCCTCGCTCTTCCCTACTCTCTCTTCTCTGTTCCTTACGACAGCAATAGTAAGGGTACAGGTATATATAAAAATAAATAGGCACGTAAAGTCTAAGGGTAGAGGTAAGTAGAGTTAAAGAAGCGTTCGAAATAAATTTAAGCTTATTTACTTATATCGAGTAGTTTTACCTTTAATTCCAGCGCTGTTACATAACCCTAACCCTAAGCTAGTTTGCGATTTGCGATATTCGATTTACGATGTGCGATTTGCGAATGAGTATTTACTCTATTCGACCTTTTAGTACATTTAGGATGCCGTAGTAATCCATTAGATCTCTCTATATTGCTGACTCTAATTAACACAAACTTCACTTAAATTTGAAACAAAATGGCGAAAGATAATATTAAGTTAAACATATACAAGGCACAAAAACAAACTCAAGAAAACTGTGATATCATTATTTCCATTTAAGTTATCTGATCCTTATTAAGAGCAAGTAAGGCCATAATCATCTCTTACTTCCTAAATCAGGTACCCTAACTTGGTAGAGTGACATTCTAAAGTTTGGGCGAATTAGAAAGACAAAAACAGGATTAAGGATCCAATGCCCGGTTCTTCTTATATTGCAAATATAAAACGTCCTTTGGTTGAAGAACCACACTAATACGAATCATTATCCGAATCTGAAGCGTCTGAGTTGTTTGAAGACTCAATTTGATCAGAATCCTCGGAATAATCAGAATCAGGAGTTGACTCATCATTAGAATATGAACAACTCAAGTCTTCCTCTGGACAACAGTACTCAACAGTTACCATGGACTCATCTTTTGGTAATGTATACCAGCATTCCACGGGCGCAAAGTGCTTGCTATCGCAATAGATTTCCAGCTTCTGCAAGCAGGGCAGATAAGCCTTGACTTTAGCAATGGATGCGACAGTTCTCTCCTCACTTGCAACTGTTGCAATAAGCCCAAATCTCCTATTCACGTCGCAAGAGATCTTGAGATGGGTTAATGTCTTAGCTGCCGTCTTTGCTTCCGCATCAAACATAAAGGTAAATACATCCTCTAGAGGGAGAACTGTTTCATATCCATATAATGGTACTTGTTCTGTATCAGGACTTGTAGCAACGTTTCTTACCCAAAAGCGTGGGTTTATGTAGCCAGAATAAATGAAGAGTTTGTCCTTTGCAAGATCTATATACTTGCGAGAGGTCGAAATTTTCATCCTTGTGAAGTAGTCAGGCAGACTGGGAATATCGAGATCTCGCCCCTCGAAGTCCGATGAGAATGTGACAAGCTTCTTCTTCATGAACTCTCGAGATTCGTGAGTTAGTTGTAAGAGAACGTCACAGGCACCTTCTGAATTGGCATCGGGTGATGGTTCTACTCGTTTCTTACATTTGAAGTCTTTACTAAAGTGGAATGCAACCTCACGAGGTAATGATGTATCGTAAGCGGCCTCCCATACCATGAGACGAATTTCTGTAGGCAGGTCTGCGAAGGTGGTTTTTGACATAGCGTGATAAATGTTGATAAATGTTATGTTATGTGTTTTTGTTAGAAGTACAAAGTAGGTGATTTGCATGTAGTAAATAAGTGGATAGAGCAATGAAATTATCCTGAATGATATGTCATTGTTTAATTAGGCTTTCCTTTTGTTCTAAAGAATAATTATAAGGAGACAAAGGGCTTAATTTCATTGTAAGAGAGGCCGTCATTACTCTGAACAGACCTAGGTTGGAACAACTTTATTTTAAAAGCCTCGTACAGCTAAAATTATAATACCAGAAATTCAGGACAATTAAAATTAATACATCTTTATTAATCTGGTCATTTGGGACAATTGAATTAATCATATAGGGAATTCTAGTTCAACAGATTCTAAAGGTGGGTCCAAGGTAATGGACTGGTCTCTTTTATTTGTCTAGCTTCAAGATGTTTAGAATAAAGTATATGAAGATGAAATATATGTATGGCGCTTGTCAACCCAAAATAGGTAGGATAACAAGTTGAAAGCACATTTAACAGCATGATATGGCAGAACTGAGGCTGCATTTAGAGGGCTGCATGTAGAAGAGTGCCTTGTGTTGAAAGGACCATAGAAAGCAGCCTCAACAATGCGCTGTGATGAATACCTTCTCTTTAATGGATAGGGCTTTTGGTACAAAATCCCTCCAAGACTATTGGCCAGTTGTCTCAAGCCACACTGGCAACGAATGATCAGCTCATGATTCCATTTCAAGACTTCCCTGCGTAAAGCATGGATTTTCGGAAATTGGCAGAATAGACTTGTCTGGGTGGGGCAAGTCATCCTTCCATGTTGTGTTACGAAGGAGAAGTTCAGTTGTATGCCAAAAATAAATGGATGTTCCGATAACTTTTCAGTTGGTAAGATTTACAGATGCGATGAGGGCGCGCCCTCGATACCTTTAAGGTATTCTAAATTCAACAAGGGAGCTATAATTGCAAATAGGATATAGTTCCCTAGCCTACCATACGTCACTTCGTATTTGTATCACTTTTTTCCCCGAATGGCTGCTCAAATTCCCATCCTCGGCTTTCCGCAGGACATCTTGGCGTGACCTTGCTGAAATCAAAATGGCAAGAGCCGTGTAAGAAAGCTGATTGATTACAACATGGCTCCTTGGCACATACTTGCGACATTCAACAACTTGATGAAAATTGACCAACCTGCTTTCCAGAACCCTAAACATACACTTTCAACTCTCTCAACGTGTTAACGTGTTAACGATAAATCTTTCTGAGTCGGATTTGCTCCAAGGGCCCGAAGTCGAGCAGTACCAAAATGAATCCTACAACTTTTCCCAACGAGCGGACTTTCCACTACAGCGAGAGCTTGAGTGGCCAAGAGATGCGTCTTATAGAAATTATCAAGCCTGGCTCCCTTAATTCGCCCGATTCTGATCCCCTCAAACTGCGCATTTTCAAAGCCCCGATGCCTAGATCGAACGAAGCTGAAGACACGGAAGAAGAATCTTTTACTCCCAGATATCTTGCGTTGTCCTATACGTGGGGTCCTCCGCAACCATCGCATACTATCAGCATCAACAATGCTCCTTTCAAGATCGGACAATCGCTTTTTGAAGCATTATCGCAACTTAGATCAAACATCGACCTTCCAATTTGGATTGATGCTATTTGCATCGACCAAATGAATACTGCAGAACAAGGTCCACAGCTTGAAAAGATGTACGACATTTACAGCCATGCTGAAAGAACCATCATCTGGCTTGGAAACGGAAAATCATCGACCCCAGCTCTTTTCGAACACCTGGAGCGACTAGGGAACGACGCAATAACGGCAGGAATATGGGATCTCCAAGAGCGTGATTTCAAAATGTGGTATGAGCGTGGAGATCCACGAACAGCTGAAATCAAGTCTAAATTAGAAAATCTCATGATATCCAGTAGAAATGCTGACCCGCCGTTTCCACTGGATTCGCTTTTCCACTTATCTCATGAAGTACCATGGTTTAGAAGGGTGTGGATATTACAGGAGCTTTCAGCTGCTAAGGATTACGAGTTTATGTATGGTTCCTCCACGATACCGGGAGATTCTTTCATTGCTGGCTACTTCTTTGTAACCATATGGGAGGGGATTGAGTTGCAATCGATGACTGGAAATGGACCGTTACCTCAGAACGGGTTATCCTTCGCTCAGATCATTTTTCAGCGGCTCATGAGAAAGGATGAGAATGGGAACGAATTACCAATATCTTTGAGCTCACGTGCCGCTACAACACTTGGAACCCGACGAAGACACCATAGGAAAGGTGGATTGACGTTGACGGGACACTTGAACCGAGCTTTTACTCTTACTTCGGATGCTGCGATTGGCGCCACCATGGAAAAGGATCGTATCTACGGTATACTTGGTCTTGCAAGCGATAAAGAAACCTTGGGCATACAATACGATTGTCGTTCAGAGACGACGTTCCAGGAAGTATACACTGACGTCGCTAAGAAACTGGCAATGAATGGGAATCTAGACATCCTTATGTTGTGTCGTGCAGGGTTCAGTAGAGAATATCCATACGACCAGACGACTAGAGACCCAAATTTACCTTCTTGGGCACCGGACTGGAGTAAACCAATTAGAAGACCCTGGGGAGGTGCAAAAGAGGATTCTTTATTCCGAGCCGGTGGAAAGGAGTTTGCTTTAGATCGGCACCTGAATGAAGACGATGCACAAGCTCTGATCATTGAGACCAGAGTGGTAGAAATAGTCACGGAAGTCGGTACGATCTGGACTCCACAGTGGGAAAAACCTTTGACAATGGAGCTGCCAAAACCCTCTTTTCTGAACTTGAGAGCTTTCTATCGAAAAGTGGAGATCGTTATACTGCTCAACAGCGGGAAGATGCAAAATGGCGCATTCCAATCGGAGACCAGCAATTCGACTCCCTTGGTATGGCACAGCGTGCTACACAAGTTTCATCCGTCGGCTATCAAAATCTAAGATCGTACGTGAGCTTGGATGCCCCAAATGTTCCTTTGGAAGGAGATGGGTCAATCTCGTACCTCAGTACTATGAAAGACATGCATGATTCACGACCTTTCCTATTAGATGTTGGTGGAGTGGGACTTTGTCCTGAATTGCCTAGGCAAAGTCGCTGAGAGAATTATAGCACAACGCCTCAGCCACCTCGCAGAGACCACAGACCTCCTCCACTCCTCACAAATGGGGGGAAGACTCAAAAAGTCTGCCATCGACGCTGCTCTTCTACTCACAAACGAAGTTGAGAATCACGAGAAGTACGGATGGAAAGCCTCCACCCTGTTCATCGATGTCAAGGGAGCCTACGATCACGTAGCCAAGCAACGACTCTACAGGATTCTCCAAGTACAAGTATCGCAGACTATGGGTCAACCATCTGGTGGCGAGGCCAAGCACAATTCACTACTCTACTTCAAAAACTCCAAAACATTGCAATTAGAAAGATATTAGGGGTTTTCAAAACCCCTCCTATCCTCCCAATGGAAGTAGAAAGCGCCCTCCCACCTCCTGAAGTTCGCCTCTCCTCCTCCTTGAGGATGTATGCTTTCCGTCTACTCAAACTCTCACCATCACACCCAGTCAACCACGCTATCGACAAGCTCCTCAATACTCAAGCAACTCCAAGGAAAAAGAAGCCGGCAACTCCTCAACTACAGCGAATCCACCGCTCTATTAGCAACTTATAAAACCTTGAAGACCTTGAGCAAATACACCACTTCCACTTCCCTCCATGGGAAAGAGAGACTCCTTACAAGGTTCACATTAGCAAACTTTCAAAAGAAGAGGAAACTAAATTTCACCTTCGTCTACTCCAAAACAACTCAGATAACAGCATTTTCATCTACACAGATGCATCCTCTACAACAACAGAAAATAGCCAAGGAATTGGGGTAGGTTTGTCTGTAATCTCACCTCAATCAAACAGAATCCACTACGAAAAGAAAGTCAACATTGAACATTGGACCAAACAAGCTCGTCTACAACGGTGAAGTTGAAGGGGCCACGCTAGCAGTTGAATACGCTGCCAAGCACGCTAGACCAGGGATCCATTTCCACATCTACTCCGACAACCAGGCAGGTTTACGGAGGCTAAAAACCACATCAGATAACCCAGGGCAAGAGTGCCAAATCAGAGCTATCACAGCTGCCCGGAAGGCAGTTAGCAAGGGAGCTACTACCACAATTCACTGGGTACCAGGTCACACCGACATTCCAGGAAATGAGAAAGCAGACAAGCTTGCAAAAGCCGCCACCACAATCCAACCATCCACTCAACTCACTAGCTTTGCTATGCTAGGAGTCAAGATCAGGCAGACCCAGAACAAAGAATGGCGTCAAAAGCTTACTACACCCCCCCGGCACACAGAACCATCAACTAACCAACACTCGTATCGAAGGGAATTCCCATGGAAGATTCTGTCGAAACCTTGCGTCCCCCAAGGAACAAAAAGAGAGATAGCCAGCGCCTTTTATCAGCTTAAGCTAGGCCATGGATACTTCAAATCATACCTACACAAGCTCGGCCACACTACCAACAACCGCTGTAGATGTGGAAGACAAGAGACTCCCACTCACCTCCTTCTTAGCTGTCCAGAAACTGGGGATGCTAGGAAAGTACTAAAGCGCAACCTCCTCAAGCATCATATTCGAGAGTTCACCATGAAATCCCTCCTTCACACCGCCAAAGGAGTCGAGGCCACACTTGACTTTATTCGAACCACCAAAATCGCCACTAGAATATGGCACACACAACGCGCAACTGAGGATGAGAACGAAGATGAGGACGAGGAAGACGAGGACGAGGAAGACGAGAACGAGGAAGTGTAGTGTACAGGGCGTGAAACGCGGGGGCGTACTACAGCATAACAACTTTTCTTCTGTCATAACCAGAAGCCTAGCTGCTTCCAACAACCCAAGAACTGTATTCACCATAACCCCCTTCTCAAACATGTATTTAGTACAGCTTTACTCATCTGTTGGAGGGAAACCCCCAGCCGTGCTACTATAGTCTCAGACTCACACAGCACGTTACAAGGAATAATAATAATAATAATTATTATTATTATTCTCGCTTAACTTAAGGGGTTCATTTCCAAGGTTGGCGGGGGACTGACGTCATAAAAATGCCCCGCCTCAGTGCCATCATCCTCTAAACATTCAATCAAGCAAGTCTTTTGCAGCAATTCATTCCTCCTATGATTATTTCGAACACGATACTTGATCTGTCAAACACATTGCTTAATTTGAAGCACATTGATCAGCAACAATGTCCAAACCCCAGAAAAAGCCCGAAGAGCTAAAAACTCTGGAGCCAAAACACGAATCCGACCCCTCGCCCTCGCCCTCTCCCGACGCCCAAAATCCTAACCCCGAAAACTCAAAAGAAGAAATGACCCCAAGTCGAAAAGAAAAAATCCTAGCAAAAGCAGCAGCCTGCATCAGAGAAGCCGAAGACTCACAAGAAGCAGCGAAACTGGCACGGGAGCACGCCGCGCGAACGGATGATCTCCAAGAGAGGCAGAAGGCTTTGGAAGAAGCTGTCAAGGAGGAGAAACTTGCGAAGGCGGCGATGAAAGCTGCGGGGAGGCTACAGAGTGGTGTTTGGCAGGGTGGTGCGGCGGGGGCGGGAATAGGTGCGGGAATTGGGACGGGGGTGGGAACTTTGGTGGGGACTATTGTTGGTGGGGTTACTTCGATTCCTACGACTGGGTTGGNACAGCAGATAGGTGCGGGAATTGGGACGGGGGTGGGAACTTTGGTGGGGACTATTGTTGGTGGGGTTACTTCGATTCCTACGACTGGGTTGGGGTTGTTGGTTGGTGCGGGGACGGGGGCGATTCATGGGCCGTGGTTTAAGCTTGGGAAGGAGAAGAAGGGGGAGAAGGAGCCTGAAGATGGGGAGAAAGAAAATGAGGAAGATATACAAATGAAGGAATAATGGATTGCTGTTTTCACTTGCGAGGATGCAACCTTATCCAAAGAATTGCGATTTAGCTAAGTGCCTTTCTTTCCCTACTCATCCTCCTTTTTCTGCCCCTGTACTCCTTTTCGTCTTTCCAGTATTCGACAAACGCCTCGCCAATGAATACAGGCATGAAGACCACAAAATAACAAAGTAGCAAGAGACCCTGAAACACCTCTACACCACCATAATGCACGTATCTTCTTGGTCGTGGGTATTGCGTGTACCCGTTATTATCCTTCGCCCTATCTCTCCTCACAACCTCGCATTTCAACCTTCCAACTCCCGACACCCTTCCATTCCTAACCAACCCACCCGACTCTTCCCAATCCTCAATCCACGGAAGTTCTACCACGAAGACTTCCTGAGGGTGCAAGTCTCGAAGGAGATTCAGAATCATCATCTGCTCGATATCGTAGTCCGAATTTCTGAAAAGCCGGATTCTGAGTTCTCTCAGTCCCTCAAGATGTCTCAAAATCTCACAACACTCTTTGGCTCTCATTTCGTGCCTAAACATTCGATCGCAGACCCTTCTTAGGGTTCTACCCCCAAATTGGGTTTGTCTAACAACCGATATCAAGCTCAGTTTCTGTATGTAGTTCAAGTTTCGCAGTGAGACTGTCGTTAGGAATTCTAATGCTGCGTCATGGTGTAACTCGAATTTGAAGGAAGAATATAGCACTTTAATAGCTTCCTCATACCTGGGTTTATTGTAGCAATGAATCCCCTGCCAAACCAAGAGAAGACCTTACATTCGCCGCCCACTTAACAGCCATTCAATGATACATGCTTGATTGCTTGCCCCTCTCTCACAACAAACCTCGCAACTCTCCAAGAACAACGCACCTCTTGCCAGCCTAGGCGCCCCCAAAGCAACGCGAGTGTACCGTCCGTTGCATTTTCGGAACTTGAACAACACGGAATACTAACCAGATTACCCGGTCTTTTATACGGATACCTCAAGTCCCGTGCCTTTACGATATGAAGCTTACCTCCCCACCCAAAGGACAAAAACACAAGCTGGTAGACAATGATTCGAATCTCGAGAGGGAGACGGAAAAATGGACTTTGAAGTTGGCTAACTATCTTGAAGCGCTTTAAGTGGAAGGCCATGGTATATGATATTTGTGCGTCGAAGACGTTCGCTGGAGTTTAGTTTGCTTTCAGTGTTGCATTTGTTGGTGGGATCTTGGTTCTTTGTTCCTGCAACGGGGAGTTCGAACCCTGACTGAATTTCAGCTGTGCTGCATTGTGCCATTTTCTTGCATCAAATCATTCAAGGAGTATAAAAGCGAGATCTGGGAAGCCACGATGTTAATGACTGGAATCACTACTGCCCCTTTGAGATATGATGGAAAATGTATGTTATCCACCATAACTTGGACATTGTTTTGGTTTTGCGAAAAGATCTAGTAAGATAGTAAAACAATACAAATTCCAACTCAGGTTATTATACGAGTCACCTAGCAGGCCTCATATGAATAGACAGTTAGACGAAATCCTGGATGCATTTGAGCTAGGTGAAGATATTATTTTTAGAATCAATCTATAGACCTACTAATAATGCTTAGCACGCTAGAAGAGTCTTTACTATATATAGGTGTGTTCGCTCTGTACTCCTTAATAAAGACAGTTGTTTAATAATAATTATTATCCCAAAAATCTCGTACTATAAAATAAAACCAGTCCTCCAATTAATTCAGAATAAATAAAATCAATACATCTTATTAACCCAAATTCTTTAAGATCAGAATCAACGTATTCACTCTAGGAATCCTAGTGTAACTGTATAATAAGCCCCCAAAGGTACGTCCCAAGTCTCACTCAACGACAGATCTTACTATAAAAGTAAGTAAAAGTACAGAAATATACTATAAGAGACACAATAAGGAACTTATATACTAACCCATCCTCCTCCACTTCCCTTTGGCACCTAATATATAATAATTTCTCTCCCCTAATTCCTATCACCAGCTACAGTAGCAAACCCCCAAAGTACAGTCCAACCTCCTTACACCCTTCAAAGTTCAAACCCATAACCCCACAACCCACCTCTTCCCTCCCCCTCCCCCCCCTCTCAAACAAAACAAAAAACACCCACCCCTTCCCCCATATCCCATATATTATCACATCCAGTGACCCAACCCTTCAGAGCCCATCAAAAACTAAATCCCGCCCCTTACTCCTAATAAACGATTCCCCGTTCGTGTAGAAAGATAGTGCGTAGGTCGTATTATACGAGAAGATACTATTGATAGAGAGAGAGAGAGTATACTTCTCGTGGAAGGTAAGGGGGCTTGGTATATGTAAGGGTACCAGTGGTGACTCGTGTGGGGAAGGATGGGAAAGGGTGGGAAAGGGTATATGTAGTGTAAGGGTAATTGGTATTACCCCTTCATAACATGAAGCTTCCCCCATTTTAATATCTAAAATCCTTCACCCCTTCACCCCTTCAAGACCCTCAAGTCATACACACCTTAACAAACAGACACACCTTAACAACCTCCCCAACCCCTTCCCCTCAAAAATTCAAAAATCTACTCAAAAATTCAAACAACAAACAACCAATCTTCAACTATTTCCCAAATCCGCTCTACATGTAATCCTACCATCTTACCATCTTACATCTCACACCATTTTTACCATTTACCATTTACCATTTACCATTTACCATTTACCATTTACCATTTACCATCTTCTCATCTTCTAATCCCCTTCATCCCCGTGATCTCCATACATTAGGAGGGAGAATTTATGTTGTGTTGTGTTTGGTTGGATATACTATAGGTACTAGAAGATATTTTGAATTTTTGGATGTGTATGTAAGATTAGGTTTATACGCTGCTACGCTGCTACGCCAGATTGGGAGGGGAAGGGGGGAGGGAGGAGGGTATGGGATGGGTTTGATATTGAGTATATATGGAAGGGCTTCTAGATGAGGAGGTTCGTTGGGGGGAAGGTTTTTATATATAGTTTACTAAGTTGGAGTGTTTGTAGGGTTGTAGATAGATGCTACTAACACCAGCAACTTAGTAAGGTGAAATAAAGTCAGCGTAGAATGTTTTTATTATATCTATTTACTAAAATGTCAACGGGATGTGATTTATAAAGACATAGCATGAAAACTTCATAACTCAAGACTTCACTCGTTGATGAGAATGCCCAAATACCTAGCATCTGGAAAGTCAAATCACATAGAGAAACAGGAATATTCCTAACAATCCCAACAAACCAAGAGCAAGTAAAAGTCTCGATTCAATAAAGTAAAGATCACTATTCCCATAATCCTCTCCCCACCCCCCCTTCAAGACCCATTTTCCTATCAGTGGCAAGTATAAACCCCCTTTTCCCATTTTGTGTCCTCCCATCAATCTCCCAAATTTCAATGAAATAACTCATTAAAAAGCAGTCCTACCTCGAGAACCTCGTCTCCTACAAGCCTCTCAACAAATCCCCTTCCCACCATCAACCTCCAAACAAGTGCCAGTAATAAACTTACTCTCATCACTCGCCAGGAAGAGACAATAATTCGCCACATCCGTGGTATTAGTCAGACGACCCAACGGGACATTTCCGACGAACTTCTTCATGTTTTCTTCGGTTGGTGGGACGCCTACGAAGGTTTCGAAGCTGTAATTGTTATTAAGCAGCCATTTTAAGACAACAATCTGGAAGTTTTGAGCTGCGTGAGAAGGTAAGAAAGGAGAGAGAAGAGGTACTTACGAGGCAGTAGCACATAAAAGGGGACAAATCGAATTAACCCTAATCTGCTTCTCTCCATATTCCGCAGCCAGACCCTTCGTCGCCTGTTGAGAGATCAGTCTCCACAACCTTTCGCTCCTCCCACACCTCGCTTGATCATTCCTGAAGTGGAGGGAGGGGGAGAGTCAATGTATACACACGTTATTGACCGCAGCTTTACTAGCATTATACCAAACCAAACCACCACGAGGTCTCGTAGCGCCAATAGAAGAAATATTGATGATCGAACCTCCATCTCCTTGATTAATCATGTTGGGAATGATATGTCTGGAGCTATGGAAGATGCTCTTGACATTTATGTTGAAAACGCGCTCCCACTCATCTTCCGTTACTTCCGCGCTGGGCTGGGTATCCAAATCAGTTCAGTTCAATTCAAAGCAAATCAATCCCCAATTCCCCAATTCAAGCATCTCAACCCTCCTCATGTCTCTCCAACCCCCCTACCCAAAACAAAAAACACACACAACCTACATACCTTATTCCGATAACTCACCCCCGCATTATTAACCACCACATCCACCCTCCCCCACTTCCCCAACGTATTCTCCACCACCCGCTCCCAATCCACTTCCAGCGCCACATCCATAGGGACAAACTTCATGTTCTCCGCCCGGTAGGCGGCCACCCGCTCGCCGCCGACGGCGTCAATGTCCGCGACGATGACTTTGCAGCCTTCCTCTGAGAAGCGCTTTGCGATTCCTTCGCCGAAGCCGGAGCCCCCGCCGGTGACGATGGCGACTTTGCCGTGGAGACGGTTGGAGAGGATTTTGGGGGAGGTCATTTTTTGGGGGTGGTGATGGGATGGGTTGGGGTTGGTGTAGGTTTAGGTGGTGAGGATCAGGGTGTACAAGGTTGGGCCTTGTTTGGTTTTGGGTTTGAAGTTTGGAAGGGGATGGGATGGGAAGGGGGGGATGAGATTTGATGAGTTTGTTTGTAGTTAAGGTTCCAAGTGAACTTTTCGTGGCAATGTGAAGGAGGGAAGGAAGTCGCGATGTAGCAACCCCAGCTGTTGGACCAATGCTAAATACCAGAACCGGAAGGCTCGACCAAGGAATTTTCAGAGGTTATTCTCTGATGGAGACCTCTGGTAAGTTTGGAATAGATTTTGAGGTGAGGGATTATCACGACCTCTACAGTGAACTGCTGTATCACTCGTAGATCTTCCATGAAGAGGGGTAACATCACGTGTGGTGGAATCTCTTTGGTGAAACATTTGAATTCATTACCTACCCATCGTCTGATATCCTGCATTGTACTGTGCCAATCAAATTCATCAAATTCGTCAATTTCAATTCCAATTGCAATTGAGTCTGGCATTTGACTTGAACGCGTCGAAACATATGAAGAGCAAACCCCAATCAATCCTCGGATGTGGCGAGGAACACTTGAGTCCAAAATGACAACATGTTGAATGGTGCCTGTACAAGTAGTGATTGCATTTAGCTTCAGTCGTCTGAGCCGTCCCGTCCCTTCTTGTAGTGCCCGTATATAGTTTGCGGGGTAAGAAGATTGGATTCCCTACAAAGCCATGATACTTATACTGAACCAAGGTTTCCACAATTTACTTTGGAATTAGTACGAAGGTGGTGGATCAAAAACAGGAAAAGAACGCTGTACTAACTCAATCCCTGCGGAGGGATCCTGCGGGGTTATGTTGCGAAGACGCATGTGAATACTGTACAGTAGCAGCCAGTCCAGTCTGCAATCTGATGTCAGACTCTCGTGTTAGCCAAGACAATCCACTAGCGATTTTGAGCTTTTCTGCTGGTGAACTTTGGGATTGGATTGTCAACGGGAAGCAAAAACAAGCTTTTCAGAAAGGAAACGTTTGTTTCTCATCGGAGCCAAGTCACGCCGTACCGTGGCTGAAGAATGGGCGATACTCGAGTACAGTACATACGAGGATCGAGGCCACTACTTAAGAGGGGTTTACCAAACTAGTATGGTGTTTTTTGAACCGTTTACGCCAACGTCGTTGTTTCGGGAAATATCAAGTATCGACTCGCGTTGGCGTTGCATCCGTACAACGCCATACGAGAATATTGAGATAAGGATGTAGCGCGGGTGGTAACCTTAACTTTGTTCGTGGAATCAACCGGGCGCCTGAAGGATAAATTGTTATTGGGTAGAGAGCAGGAGATATCCATATTACCGTAGGGAGCTCGGAAAGTGGTTCATGAGAACCGTCTGCCTCCTTCGCTTCTCATAGAGACTACTTGTTACACCGTACTGGTACAGAGGGAGACATGGGAATTTTTGAGACCTTAATCGTGAGTTGATGTTAGCAATGTCTGGGCTTGAGCTTGAGCTTGCCGATTCGGGCCCTTTGATATCCGTAGCCACGAGTTGGTGTTTTTTCCTAGCCACCTTCTTCTCTCCAACATGGCTACGAATGGCAATGATGCTCCTTGGCTTCGGTGCCGTATTGAAACATTTAGATGCGGCTTTCGGCCGAGATGATGTCTTGATGTTTGATGACGAATTTCGGATAATATGGAGCCCGAATTGTTTGATCCCGTTCCAACTTCCAACCGCATCTATCCAGAAACTGTTGAAGATCTCGTGAAGATCTTTCCAGCACCAGCCACGGCAGGCATCGATAACGGTTCTCCTGATATTCGGCAGCAGTAGTAGTACAGTGAGTAGCGTGCTCGTAGCGTACTGTAGTAGCGCTACCTAGATTTACCTCGGGTGACACCCGCGCAGGAACGGGAGGACTAAGCGGCTGTCGGTGCTTGGTCTTGAAGGTTGATTTGGTGGAAAGCCACGATGCGCTGAGTCGCAGTACTTTGGTTCCTCTTCAACTCCTCCATAGACCGCCTGCTGCAGGGTGAAGGTGCAGGTTATGGGAGACACCAATCGCATGCGCATTACTCAGTCGCTGGCGTACTCAAGTACCTCTCTATTGATCCATTGGAAGGGCGCCGATCAGCTCCCTGCCCCCAGCCCCCCCTAATCTTCTTGTGCAGTATGTAGGTAGGTATGGCAGTGCATGATTGTGTGGTGATAATGCAGTGGTTGCACAGAGAGTACGAGTAGCGTAGCGTAGTTTGTAGCGTGAGCCTTGAGGAGGGAGTTCATCTCTCATATCTCGCTGCCGAGAAACTTCGCTCCCTCTTCAAAGAATCCCCTCCCTCCCCCACGGTCGTTCACTTCCCCTCGTGCGCGAGGCTCTCATCGCCGGTCGCTGATACTGTCACAACTCACGTAAGGTCTGCCTCCTTGCCTTGCCGCAAGAATTGCCTGCTGACCGCACCGTTGCGCAGCACCGCAGAATTGCGTGTGCACCCCAATTCATAGCTCCTGGCCACAGACTACTGACGACCGACCACGAAGCTCCTCTCCAGTTCCATCATCACACTCGTTGTCTGTCTCTCGTTTCATGCCGTGTTCCCTCTGCGTCGTTCGGTCGTTCAGAAATCCAGTTCCGGGGTGTCTCGGCACCTCCTGCTAAGAAGAAAAAAGGCGAGCCCACTAGCGCTGCGTGCGGCTGGCGCGAGTGCTTAGTGCTTGCGCTGCTGCTGCTGCTACCGCTACCGCTGCTATCAGGGTGATCTGCCCAGCTTGCCAGGACCCAGGGGCCTCACTCATTTCTCTCTCCCACCACCAGTTCTACGCCGCAGTGCCCGCGAGTTACGAATATTGACAAACGCACCGTAACCGCTTGTCCTTGACCGAGTTGGAACGTCGTGCAAGTCTTTTAGATGCGTAGGCGATCAACTGGATCCGCCGCAGAGGAAGAAGGCGACGATTCCAGCCTCTCGAATGCAGCCGACCTGACCTTGCCTTTGGAGGCAGCAGGGGGGGGTTCCAATTACGAAGATAGAGATACACTCAGTAAGAGAGAATCCAGGAATCCTCGATCCACCGCACGACAGGCCAGGACGCACGACATACACGAACTCGACCGCCGGAAAAGCATCGATCATCGACCCTCCGCAGCGGCTCTCAGCCGACGCCCAAGCAACATCAATTGGAAGCCGGCAGACTCGCGAAATGGGCAATTAGATAGGAGTCGACATACAGAAGCTTCCAACATCACCGTATCTGCGGGAGGCGACATTTCCCCCAACAAGATGCCCGATGCACGAGAGACCTCCCGTCGTCCGAGACTACGAAGTCCCTGGTCATGTTCCCTCGTCACTCTCGTTACCACCATCTTTGCGCTCCTCACCTTGGGTTCGATAATACATTCGTTTTCAGACCTGCAACTGGATTCCAAGGGGTGTCGAATGTCATATATGCGGCCGTCTTTCGCAAAGCTGTCAGACTTTGATACAGAACATACCCGTTTCGCGAGTAAATACTCGGTATACTTGTACCGAGAAGGAATGGTGGATGAAGATACCAAGGTATGGAACATTGACTTTTGAGGATACCACAAACTTACTAGATTTCTTGTAGGTGAAAGGTGTTCCCGTTTTGTTTATTCCAGGAAATGCCGGTAGCTACAAGCAGGTTCGGCCTATTGCAGCCGAGGGAGCAACTTATTTCCATGAAGTCTTGAAGCACGACTCTGCTGCAATCGATGCTGGCGCACGAAACCTGGATTTCTTTACTGTGGATTTCAATGAGGATATAACTGCCTTTCATGGGCAGACGATGCTGGACCAGGCGGAATACTTGAATGAGGCAGTCGCATACATTTTGTCATTATATCATGACCCGCGCAGGTCTGAGCGAGATCCCGATCTTCCTGATCCTACTTCCGTTATAATATTAGGACATTCCATGGGAGGAATCGTGGCGCGAACGATGCTGGTAATGCCAAATTACCAAGCCAACTCAATCAACACGATTATTACCATGTCAGCCCCACATGCGCGACCGCCGGTTTCTTTCGACGCGGAAATTGTCCGCACATATAAACAGATCAACGATTATTGGAGGCAAGCATACTCACAAAAATGGGCCAACAACAACCCTCTGTGGCATGTCACTTTAATCTCGATTGCAGGAGGTGGTTTGGACACAGTTGTGCCATCAGATTATGCTAGTTTGGAGTCTTTGGTGCCGGACACTCATGGCTTTACAGTCTTTACATCGTCCGTACCAAATGTGTGGACATCGATGGATCACCAAGCGATTCTCTGGTGTGATCAGTTTAGAAAAGTTGTTATTCGGTCTTTATATGAAACCATTGATGTTAATCGACCCGCCCAAACAAAACCCAGGGCGGAAAGAATGCGAGTTTTCAAGAAGTGGTATCTGACAGGCATGGAGAGCGTGGCCGAGAAGACACTTTCGCAAAAGGAACCAACTACACTTCTTACCCTGGAGGATAACTCGAACTCGATCATTCCTCAAGGAGAGCGGCTGACTTTGAGACGGTTTGGAGAAACTCGCAAGCCTCGTGCTCATCTTCTACCCATACCCCCACAAGGAACTCCAGGGGGTAAAAGATTTACCTTGTTGACTGATCAGACAATAGACAAACCAGGAGAGTCAGGGAAACTCGAGGTTTTGTTCTGTAGCGTTTTCCCGTTGCATCCTGGGCAGTCAGCTACGCTATTCTCAATGAATATGGATCTCTCTGGGGATAGTTTTGGATCAACACGATTAGCGTGCAAAAACGCTGCGTCCGATGTCATCGCACTGCCTGCGTCCACTCGAACAACCAAGAGGCCATTCTGGCTCGATGAAGAAGAGGAGCGTAAACCCTTTTCTTACCTACAGTACGACTTGGAGGATATTCTGGATCACCAATTTGTTGCGATTGTGGATAAAGCTGTTGATCCGACTCCAGGCTGGGTCATCGCCGAATTTAGCGACAATGTACACTCACATCGTATTCGTTCACTCGGTCTTCGAAGGCTCCTTGCTGTTGGAATGAAGATCAAGCTTCCTGCGGCTCGACCAATGGTAGCTGAGGTCAAGATCCCAGCCCTCCATTCCAGCTTACTGGCATATAAGCTTGAAATGGGCAATCAGGTTTGCGGAGAAGAAGCAGAAATTTTCACGCCTTTACTCCGACAATATATTTCGGATCCTTATGAATCCAAATACTTTGTGAATGTCAAGCAAGCCAATATCAACCTCCATGGGGTTTCGCCTTTCATGCCACCCTCGTTGAAGCATAAGAATGCCCATGATGGCCTGAGTCTACAGTTCTGGACGGATCCCACTTGCGAATCAAGTGTAAAGATATCGTTGAAGGTTGACATCCCGGGAAGTTTGGGGAAGCTCTACATGCGCTACCGAACCGTTTTTGCCGCGTTTCCTCTACTTGTAGTTGCTTTGGTTTTACGAAAGCAGTTCAGAGTTTATGACGACACTGGGATTTTTATGTCCTTCACTGAAAGTCTAGATTTGTGTTTACGCCAATCTCTGCCCTTGGTGCTGGCAGCTCTGACCTGTCTCTCTGTCTCACTTGCGCAAACGAGCTCTGCTCCCCCTAAACCAGCATCAAGTGGATTTTGGAGTTGGGGAGGCAATACTACCGAATCTCAAATCGATTACACCAAGAATGACCTGTTGGTTGGCTCACAGGACCCATTCTTCTGGTTCATGGTTCCGTTGATAGGGTTTGTATGCGTGGGAGTAGTTGTGGCCGTCAACTACGCAACACTTACCATCACGCACATCTTTAGTGTTGCTTATGGGTGGTTGAGCGCTCGGCCCGCATGGATCCGGAATGAGGACAAGAGACGAGCAGTGTCACCAGCCTTCGCACCGTCAACCCCACGGAGACGCTTCTTGACTACTGGCATTCTGCTATTCTTGGTCTCTACCGTCATCCCATATCAATTCGCTTATCTTGTCGCCTGCCTTGTACAGATTGCAACATGTTCGCGCGCCCTACGATTTGCTCGCGAGGCTCGATCAAACACCAACTATAATTTCTACAATTACGTCCACTCGATCTTCATCCTAATGCTGTGGATCCTACCGATAAATCTCCCAATTCTCGTAGTGTGGGTGCACAACCTCGCGGTGCATTGGCTCACTCCATTCTCTTCCCACCACAACGTCCTTTCTATCATGCCGTTCATATTACTTGTCGAAACTTTGACTAGTGGGAAGATGGTTCCTAAGGTCACTTCTCGCCTTCGGCACCTCACCAGCTTCTTCTTCTTTTTCATCGCCATATATGCCGCTGTATATGGAGTCACTTACGCCTACATGCTTCACTACATCGTCAACTTGGTAGCAGCATGGCTGGTTGCCGTTCATTTCTCCACCTCCTCCTGGTCTTTGGCTGGCCTCAGCAGCGTCTTTGAACCAGAGAACAACGAGAATACAAGAAAACGAGGAAAGACACCATGAAGAACACTTTGAGCTGTCAAAACTTGTTACGGCCCTCATTCATATACATGATTTCAATGATCCAACGCATATCATCGACCCCCAACTCCCGTATCGAATTGTGGGGGATCTTCAATACCAAGTTTCAATGCTGCCTCTAGACTCGCTTGGTTTTTTCGGTATTATCGTTTTCATTCGATGGCGTTTTCCCCTCGAATCCGAGCATCTGCATAATCAGTTTTGCGTTTTTAGATCTCCGCGTTGCAGACCATTTTGGCTGTATGCTGTACATAGGGATTTGGATCCAAGGGATTTCTTTTTACGTTCTGCATGCATTGCATAGGCAACCGCGCGTTGGAAGGTATCTTGGTCATTATTACCCGTCCTTTTTATTTTCTTGCGCGTTGCATTATCGCTGAGAGAAGAATCAGCGGAAAGTTTCTTTATTTATATACCTCCCCGTCATTAATTGATGGCCAGCGATGGGGATAGCGAAGGGTTGGTGGAATTGTATAAAGTGATATGAGATGAGCCCTCATGCGCCAAGCGGGGTAGAATAGGATTCTGTTGTTGTTTGGGCGTTTCCAGGGACTGTAGTTTTTTCTTAGCTAGGGCTGGGAAAGGAAGGGAGAGGAAGAGCTGTTGTAATACTGGATTGGAGGGGTATAGCCTGGCTTTCTTTGCCTTGTGGAGATGTGAGCCCTCTACGTGAAGCGTGAGGGTGGGATTAATATGGTCTTTGGGGGGGGGTGCAGGTAGGGGAAAGAAAGGGCCTGGGCTTGAATATAGAAACCCTTGAGGTTAATAATACATACATTTGATCCAAACTTGCAATCTGAGAAGGTTTATGATGTAAATGTTACCGTTGGAATTTGATAATAAAGTTTAAATATTAATTACCCTTAGTAAATAATACCCGTACGCTATACCCATACAGGTAAAAACTCGATCGTGAAGCCCATCACGTGAATGAGAGCCCGAGGTAGTGGGCCTCGAGGCGCCAACCTCAATTTGGTAGCGGGGTTGATTGGTCAGTGCTGTAGTCGTATCGAAATATTTTATGAGCTCTTCCGACTCACCATTGAACTTTTCTGAGCAGAACACTCAACCATCACCAAAATGTCGCCTCGCAAGAAGGCTACAGCTGGAGGTCCAGTCGAAGTCTCCGGCTCGACGCCTAAATCCGCGACAACATCCAAAGCTGCGGCGCAAAAAGCTGTATGTATTTGCGCATGCGACTCTCGGAATAGCAACTGACTGGATCTGCAGAAAGGAAACCTTTCAGATCACACAGAAACCGCGGCAGAATCGAAACCCAAGCGTACAAAGACTGCGAAGAAAGTGCAGCAGCATATCCATAGAGCAGGAGATGATGTGAAGGCTGCCAATTGGACCTGTCTTTGGAGGCGCATACTGACATTTTGTCGCAGACTTTCTCGGCCCTTCTGGAACCTTTCTATGGCGGAAAAGGTCTCACGGATCCAATCGATACGGCAAAGGTATGCATCTTTAAAAGAAATTCGAAATCTAAATCTAACATGCGCAGGATAAATGGAATCTTCTACCAGCATTTCTCAAGGTTAAGGGTTTGGTCAAGCAACACATCGACTCGTACAATTACTTTATTGAGCATGAGATTAAGGATATTGTCAGAGCAAATAAGGTGGTGACAAGTGATGTCGACAATACTTTCTGGTTGGAGTAAGTTGCCTCCTCCAAGTGATCGATTTGCTTCTAATGAAATACTAGGTATCTTGATATTCGAATTGGAGCTCCCGATCGCCTTGATTACGATGATCGAAAACCACAAAATGACATCACCCCGAACGAATGCCGTCTCCGAGATATGACCTATGCTGCGCCCATCATAGTCGATTTCAAATATGTGCGGGGGAAAAGTGCCATCCTGAGAACAAATGTTGCCATCGGAAGAATGCCGATTATGCTTAAAAGTCGTCCATGCCGGCTGGCTGGAAAGAATGACCGTGAGATGGCTCACATGAATGAATGCGCTCTTGATCCTGGAGGGTACTTTGTTGTAAACGGAACGGAAAAGGTTATCTTGGTGCAAGAGCAATTGAGCAAGAACAGAGTTATTGTGGAAGCTGATCCGAAGAAGGGAATAGTATCGGCATCTGTGACTAGGTATGGTTTATGCCTTGATTACCATACAAAAGGTCTCTGCTAACATATCCCAGTACGACCCACGAACGAAAGTCAAAAACTTATGTTCTAATGAAAAAGGAGAGAGTTTATTTGCAACACAACATTCTTACTGAGCCCGTTCCTATTGTGGTCGCACTCAAAGCCATGGGCATTCAGTCTGATCATGAAATGCTTCTTTTAGTTGCAGGCGATGATAGCGCTTATCAAGACGAATTCTCTGTCAATTTCGAAGAATGTGCGCAACTAGGCGTCTTCTCACAACATCAGGCTCTCGAATGGCTAGGGCAGCGTGTCAAGATGGGTGCAACGAAAAAAGGATCAAATAATAGAGGTCGAAACTACGTCGGTGAAGCTCTTGAAGCCCTTGCCACCATTATCATCACGCATGTTCCAGTCATTGGTCTAGACTTTCGACCCAAGGCACTTTATATCTGCTTTATGGTTCGGCGTGTTCTTATGGCGGTACATGATCCAAAGTTGGTTGACGACCGTGATTATGTCGGCAATAAAAGATTGGAGCTCGCTGGTCAACTTTTGGCCTTACTTTTTGAGGATTTGTTCAAGACTTTCAACAACAATCTGAAAATTAATATTGACAAGGTTCTGAAGAAACCAGTCAGAAGTATGGAGTTTGATGCATATAATCATATGCAGTCCCACGGAAATTTGATCACGCAGGGCATGAATCGTGCCATTTCAACTGGAAACTGGAGTGTCAAACGATTCAAAATGGAGAGAGCCGGTGTCACTCATGTTCTCAGTCGACTGAGTTACATTAGTGCTCTTGGGATGATGACCCGTATTAGCAGTCAGTTTGAGAAGACCAGAAAGGTCAGTGGACCTCGTGCACTACAACCCTCACAATTTGGAATGCTCTGTCCTTCAGATACACCCGAAGGAGAAGCCTGTGGTCTTGTTAAGAATCTGGCTTTGATGACACATATCACGACTTACGACGACGAAGAACCAGTCAAAAAATTGGTATTTGTTCTTGGGGCCGAGGATATTGCGTCTATGAGTGGAATTGAAATATACGCTCCTGGTGCCTATGTTATCTTTGTCAACGGTACACCCATTGCACTTACACGAAAGCCAAAGGAATTCTTGAATTCTTTCCGCAAATTCCGTCGGATGGGACGGGTCTCGGAGTACGTCAGCATCTATATTAACAATCATACGAATGCTGTTCACATTGCTACCGATGAAGGGAGAATTTGCCGACCCTTGATCGTCGTTGAAAATAACAAGCCCAGAGTTACCAAAAAGTCCTTGGAAGCCTTGCGAGCAGGAAAAATGGAATTCGACGATTTTCTATACAGAGGAATGGTGGAATATGTGGATTGTAACGAGGAAAACGATTCCTATATTGCGCTTACACAAGATTTCGCTGAAAAGACGCCTGGCATTACCCATCTTGAAATCGAGCCTTTCACCATTCTGGGCGCTGTGGCTGGATTGATTCCCTACCCCCATCACAACCAATCTCCAAGGAACACTTACCAATGTGCTATGGGTAAGCAAGCCATTGGAGCAATTGCTTATAATCAATTTTCGCGGATCGATACTCTGCTTTACCTCATGGTTTACCCACAACAACCAATGGTCAAAAGTCGTACCATTGAGTTGATTCATTACGACAAACTTCCAGCCGGTCAGAACGCGACAGTGGCAGTTATGTCATTTTCTGGATACGATATTGAGGATGCTTTGGTGTTGAATAAGGCATCTTGTGACAGAGGTTTCGGTCGATGTCAGGTCTTCCGGAAATATGCTGCACATATTCGAAAATATCCCAACAAAACTTCGGACCGACTTGGTGATAGAGAACAGGACGCAAAGGATCCTAGTAAGCCCATCAAGAAACACGCAGTCCTCGGCCCAGAAGGTGTAGCTATGGTAGGCGAGAGAATACACTCGGGTGAGGTGTATCTCAACAAGGAAACTCCACTCAACACAACATCTTCTGGAATAGGTTCTGACTATGGATCGAACGAGCATAGACCAGCACCAATGTCCTATCGTCTTCCTGATTTTGCCTACATTGACAAGGTCATGGTTTCTCAGACCGAAAACGAGACGACTGTCTTCAAGGTCCAAACCCGGCAGACTCGTCGCCCTGAACTTGGTGATAAGTTTTCTTCTCGTCACGGTCAGAAGGGTGTTGTTGGTATTATCGTTGAACAACAGGATATGCCATTTGCTGATTCAGGCGTTACGCCTGACATTATCATGAACCCTCACGGTTTCCCCTCTCGTATGACAGTCGGTAAGATGCTGGAACTCCTCGCTGGCAAAGCCGGAGTCCTCAACGGAACTCTGGAATACGGCACGGCATTCGGAGGCAGTAAAGTAGACGACATGGGTGATATCCTCATCAAGAACGGATTCAGTTACTCTGGAAAAGACTTCGTCACCAGCGGTATCACAGGCGAATCCCTCCCAGCCTACATCTTCTTCGGACCAATCTACTACCAAAAGCTCAAGCACATGGTTCAAGATAAAATGCACTCCCGTTCACGCGGTCCTCGGGCTATTCTTACACGTCAACCTACTGAGGGTCGATCAAGAGATGGAGGTCTGCGACTGGGAGAGATGGAACGTGATTGTCTCATTGCGTATGGTGCTAGTCAGTTGCTCCTCGAGCGATTGATGCTGAGTAGTGATGCGCATGAGGTGGACATCTGCGAGCGCTGTGGCATGATGGGGTATCAGGGGTGGTGTCAGACTTGTAAGAGCACGGCGGGCGTGACGAGGATGACGATGCCGTATGCGGCGAAGTTGTTGGTGCAGGAGTTGCTCAGTATGAATGTGCTGGTGAGACTTAAGTTGGAGGATGAGTTCCCTCATCCAAAGTAAGGGAGTGGTGTCTTTTCTGGCGGTTCTTTTCAAGGGGCAGGGCGTTGGGGATTTTTTAATTTGATTTCTCTGGTATACTGGGATGGCGTATGGGATGCGAAAACATTAGGGAAGTGGGGTTTGTTGGTAAGTTAATTGGGAGGGAGTTGTTTGCATTGCGAGGCGTACGTAGTTAAGGGAATAAATGATACCATGAGCATGTGATTGGTCGGTGTGTTTTTCTTTCTTTCTTCCCTTTTTGCTACTTGAATGAATGATGTGATTCTTGGTCTATTCTGTGATCTTACTATATAATAATTAAACGAATCATCCACCATTTATATCCTACTTTACAAACCTGAGTATGGGTGTTAGCAGGTATAAGCAAGAGACTAGGAGTATACTTAGTACTGTAAGAGAGGCGGGCGGGCAGTACTCCATACTGTACTATACACCCCTAGCTAAATCCTAGTCTCCTCGAAAAACATCATCCTACAAGTAAAGACCTTATATAATTATAGCTAAATCAATTATCTGAACAGTTTCGAATAAATGATACCCTTTTGTTTTTTTTGTTTTTTTTCAATTCTTCCTGTTTTGATCTAGGTAGGTGAAATAGGATCATTGATTATGTTATGTTGTGATAGAGTATAGAATATAGAGTATAGAGTATAGAGTATAGAGTATAGAGTATAGAGTATAATTAGGTTTTTTTTAGTCTGGTTGATGGTTTTGATAGGGTAGTTGATATTGTGATATTGTGAAGGACTTGGGGGTGATGTTATGGATGTGATACTGGGGATAGGGAGGGGGATAGGGGGTGTAGGGAATCGGA